CTATATATACTTGTGAGAAAGTGGGATAAAAGGCTTGTCTGCAGAACCTGAAGTTGTGTTGCATGTTAATCCCGACGTCCCTCGCTCAGAAGAACGACAATTGCCATGCAACTGTCCGATGATGGCAGATGATGGGCCTCTCTGGATGTTTAGAATTTATTTTAGAGAAAAAGCCAAAATTTTTAGGGAAAAGCAAAAGGCCTTGAGACTTCCCAAGATCAAATTCTTGGTCCTGGCTGTCCTGGAACTCACTCTGTAGACCAGACTGGCCCTAGAAATTGGAGCTCCTTTAAATGTAATGTATAATGTATATATATATATATATCAAGTCCTGTTAAGAGTTATGGAAGCATTTGTTTTTATTATTATTATTTTACTTATTTAATTTTTACATCTTGACTTCCCGTTCTTTTGGTTGCTTTGGATTCTTCAGACCTCTCCTGATCTTTGACCTTTTCCTGCTCCCCGCCTGTCTCCTCCCCCACCCTTCTAGCCAGTTGGTTATTTTCAGATTCTTTAGACCTTTCCCCGTCTCTAGCCTTTTCCTTACGCTCTGTTGGGGGAGGCAGAGCAGTGGGATGAACACATGCCTTAAGGGCCATAATAGGTGGATAGAACCCCAATGGTGGGGGTATATCAAAGTGCTTTTCCCTTTCTCTGGCCAGAGTCTCCAGCCGGTTTCAAGTCTTCCACGAGAAAAGATTCCCGATGGGCACCCAGGGGGCCAGGGTAATTCTATCCTCCCATGCCTGGATTGCACTGTGGTCTGACAATTCCAGGCCTAAGAAGAGCAGCATATATCTCAGCACCTTAAGTGCTGGGCCCACTCACCTTGACTGTCCACTTAGCCCTGGGACCAGCTGAGCCCCACGTTGGGCACCAGTTGTCAGGCCTCCTTAGCCATATTCCCCAGGGAAAGACGTATGCATTCTCTGCCCTTTCTGCAGCCCCACGACACAGGACAATCAGACGCAATAGGGAGTCAAGTCAAAGCAGGAACTCAGTTTCTTACTGTGAGCATCAGCTTATATAGGTTAAGTGACATCATGTGATGTGGGGGTACTTCCAGCCAATGAGAGACAGCCAAGCCCTCCCTCTGGCTGGAGGGATTTACCTAGATTTTGCTGTCTCGTCCTCACTCAGTAGCTTTGAGACTGTCCTTCAAACTCGAGCCAGGCTTTTCTCTGTTCTACAGGCATCAAAGCATAGGCCCTGAGATAATTTTGGCCCAACACAGAATGGGTTAGAGGTAAAGCCACAGAGTAGAACATTCACTAATAAAAATATGGGTTAATTTAAGTTATAAGAGCTAGTTAAAGCAGGGCGATGGTGGCACACGCCTTTAATCCCAGCACTCGGGCGGCGGATCTCTGTGAGTTCGAGACCAGCCTGGTCTACAGAGCTAGTTCCAGGACAGGCTCCAAAACCACAGAGAAACCCTGTCTTGAAAAACCAAAAAAAAAAAAAAAAAAAAAAAGCTAGTTAAGGGCTGGAGAGATGGCTCAGAGGTTAAGAGCACTGGCTGCTCTTCCAGAGGTCCTGAGTTCAATTCCCAGCAACTACGTGGTGGCTCACAACCATCTGTAATGAGATCTGATGCCCTCTTCTGGCATATATGGAAGCAGAATGTTGTATACATAAGAAATAAATAAATAAATCTTTTTAAAAAAGAGCTAGTTAAAAACAAACCTAAGGTAAAGGTCAAGGTTTCATAATTAATAATAAGTCTCCATGTCTTTATCTGGGAGCTGGCAGGATAGGGAAAGATTCATTACAATAACATTTTTCTCTCTTAAACTGGTTCTACTACCCATTTGTAGTTCTTTTCAGATGTCTTATGATTCTAGAATCTACCTCTAACAGCTTGGGGTCCTCACTGCAACTTGGGCCTCACTTTCGCAGCTTCAGGCAAGAGCTTCCCACAGCCTTTCCACAGGGATGCCAGTCTGCCACCATGGCTTGGCCTCAGTGTTCCCTAGGCCTCGGGGATGCCAGCCTGCCACCATGTTTTGGCCTCAGTGTTCCCCTAGGCTTCTCTCAGGGATGCCAGCCCTGCCACCATGACTTGGCCTCAGTAGCTATCAGAAACCAAGATGATTCCACGATCCCCTCTGCCTTACACCTTCCATTCTTCTAATGCCAGAACTGTGAGGACAACAGTGCCACTTGGGACTAGCGCTTGCTCCCTTAGAGTACAATCAGCATTCATGTTGTATGCTGTTGTTTTCCAGGAGCAGGACATCTCCCAGGTCTACTTTTCTCCCAATTTCAAAGCTTAGCTGGGTGGTATCTTGTCCTGATGGCACTCATCCAATCGTTCCAGTGCAGAGCGTGGGTCTCCCTAAGAGCGTTGTTATTTCTAACAATTACAGCCTCTTTCCACACATGCCATGCTGTAATATTAATTAATATTTCTAATAATTACAGCCTCTTTCTGCACATGCCCTGGCTGTAATAGTAAGTTTCTCAGGCTCCTTTTCTCTCCCAACGATATTTTTTTTTCTTTCATGATGAAAACCTGCCTAAAAATTATCAGTGATAGCCATACTACAGATGCAATGTTATATTGTCTTGAAATTTCCTACATCAAAGAAATGAGTTTGTTACTGGTTTAATTTTGCTGCAGGCAAGTTCTTGGGAGAAAGGCAGAGGGCAGCAGATTCTGTGCCAAGGCATCACATACACGGACTAGAGTAGTGCAGTACTAAGTCTCATTCCCTCTGAAACCGCGTGATCCAGGCCTCTACTCTCCGCACTGCTATCTTCCTGTACTAGGACAGTCTGCTAATGTCTGCTTACAATATCACATGCTTCCCTCCCCTACCTTAGAGTCTTCCGTACTCCTCCAAATAAACATTTTCAGGTTCTTTGCAACAACAACCCCACTTCTTGGCACCAACTTCTATATTAGTTACATTCAGTTGTTGTGATAAAACACTGTGACCAAAGAAAATGGAAGGAAGAGTTTATTTTGGCTTATAATTCCAGAGGACTAGATTTTCATACTGGTGGAAAGGCTTAGCATCAAAAGCGGGAACCTGAAGATCACATCTCAACCGCATTCAGGAGGCACAAAATGAGACCTGGAAGTTGGGTGAGATCATGAACTCCAGGCCCACCACCAGTGACATACATCCTCCAGCAGACTCCATAGCCTGCAACAGCACCACCAAGTGCTGAAATCATGAACCAAAAGGGGAAATGTCTTATTCAAACCGGAAGAGGAAGTCAGGACAATGAGAGCTTGAAGCAGCTTGTAATATTGTATCCAGAGTCATGAAGCAAAGAGCAATGTTTGCCTTGGTCAGTTTTCGTCTCTGTATACAGCCCTGGACTCTGGCCCAGGTCAAGGTACCATCAATGGTGGGTATGCATTCCCATCATAATTAATATAATAAAGATATTCCCCCACGGGTTTCCTCAAAGGATCATCACTTGGGCTATTCTAGAGTGGATCAAGTTGACCACTGAGATTAATCAATAGCCTGAATTTTTAAAAGTAATTTGATGTCTAGTGATGTGAGTGAAACTAAAATCCTTTTTAATAGCATAGTCCTCACGTCTGCAAGATTCCATTATAAATGTCTGATAAGAAAGCAGGTGATTTATGGCTTCATATTTTCCTTCACTGTGCCTCTCGCTGCTGTTCAGGGAAGACAGATTTGGGCCTCTTTACATTCGTGCTTTTCCCAGCTCGTATGGCTGACATGTGACAAGACGGGCGTATCGTAGAATGCTCTGCTGACTGTTCTTACAGGCAGTCTTACGTCTGGCCCTGGCTGGCCTCAGACTCACAGGTGCCTGTCTCCGTGGGGGCTAATGGCATGCTCTACTGTGTCCGCGGGGGCTAAAGGCGTGCGCTACCACACCCATGTTTGTTTCACTGATCGGCCTTTTACTGTCTCGCTGAGACTAGCATTCAACACTGGTTTCTTAATAGAGCTGCGGCACCAGGACATGAATTGATTAGCAATGAAAGCATGTGTCACTACATGGCATGGTCTCTCACTTGCAAGAGGTAACGGGAGGGCTGGCCTGTCTACCCTCTCAGAGCAGAGCTTTTGGGTGTTTATTACTCTCACGGGATCCTTCAACCGAGTGAGATTTCAGAGGCGAAGTGACACAAAACTGCCTGAGCAGCCTTTTCTGTGTTCTTCACGTTCACTCATACACACAGACACTGCCATTTCATAAGATATAAAAGCAGATTCTTTTCTGTTTTTATAATAGAGATATTTTTCCAGCATAATATTTTTATTATTTGGGAATTTCATACAGCGTATCCTGGTCACACTCCCCATTCCTCCCAGGTCCTACCTCTCACCCTTGTGCCCTGCCCCCAAATACACCAAGTACAATTCAGATTGCCATACACTCATTAGAGCGTGGTTAAACCCCCAGGGGCCAGCCCCTTAAAGATAGCTGAGTTCTTTCCCATCCCCCACCAGAAGCCAGCAACTGTGATGAGCTACTTCAGCATCTTTATCACAATTTTTAAGTATTTCCCCAATGGCTTCCTGTCTAGACTGCTCGTTTCTCTTGAAGTGTGTGTGTGTGTGTGTGTGTGTGTGTGTGTGTGTGTGTGTGTGTGTAGGTTGTTGCAGGAGTCTTCACTGTCTCTCATTCTCAATTTGAGTCTGGCTGGAGTCATTGATACCATTGCAACAGATGCTCCCTTGTCCACAACAACCAACAGCAGCCTGCATCATGGACTTCTACATGGTTTCCCAAGGCTGCACTGACCACGGACATCGACATGGACTCTGAATAATAGAAGATGGACCTCAACATGGTCTCTGAAGACAGCATAGACCAGGGACCTCATCATGGTCTCTGGTGGCTGCACAGACCTCCACAGACATCACTATTGCCTCCAATGGCATCAGAGACCACAGACATCAACAAGGTCTCCTTGGCAGCCCTGATCACAAACACCAACATGACCCTCAGCAGCAGCATGGGCTCTGGTGGTAACACAGACCATGGATAGCTACACCGTCCCCTGTGGTGGGGCAGACAACATGGACCATGGATAGCTACACCGTCCCCTGTGGTGGGGCAGACAACATGGACCATGGATAGCTACACCGTCCTGTGGTGGGGCAGACTATAGACAAACATGACCTCCAGCAAGAGCTCAGACCACTGACATCTGGTGGCAAACTGACTACAAACATCAACATGGCCTCAGGCAGCAACCCATTCCACAGACATCCACTTGTCCTATGGACCAAGAAAATCAGCAGTCTCTGGTGACAGCACTGACCATGGAGGCCAACATGACCTCTGATGGTAGCATGAACCATGGACATCAACACTGGACTCCGGCAGAAACACAGACCACTGATGCCAACATGGTCCCTACACGGAGCAAAGGCCACCCTATGGTCTCTGGTAGCAACAGTCTAAAGGCATTAACACAGCCTGCACAAGCAGTCCAGACCACAGGCACCACTGGCTGCAGCTACAGGCCTCATAGACCATATAAAGCAACATGACCTCTGGCGGCAGCACAGACCATGGAGGATTTGTGAGAAGGCCCAGTCCAGGAAATGAGCCAATCTCCTTGGACATCCTGGTGTTGCTAGGAGCCAGGGTGACCCTGGAGGCTGGGGAGCGTCTTTAGGACCAAAGCCCGCATGCGCTGCAGGCTGCTGCTCCCCGTCCTGTTGCTGCACTCCCACACCTGTCGCCACCCTTGGCTCGAGCTCTGTCTCTCTTCACGGGCCGCTCCCTTCCACCGGCCTTCCTGCCTCTCCGTTGGATGTTTATTTATCGAAGCAGCATTGCAAACTGCAGCATCTCACACAGTGGATTATTTTTTTGTCCAAATAGCTTTACATGCACATACTTATTGCAACGAGTCGTTGGTCTGGTTCAAGATCTCTGGTTTCTGAAGCAGCACAAATACTCAACTATTGCCGAGGCTCCTCTCAGATATCCTGCTGTTGCCTAGTCAGGGTGATCTTTCAGCTGGGCAGGGTGTCCAGGGCAGGACCCGATAGAGCTCCAGGCCACTGCACATGGCTCCGCCCTTGGTAAAGTCTCATTGAGTATGACCGTCTTGCCTGCAGCCCTTGGGCAGCTCAGGAGCAATGGTGGCTCCGTGCTGAGGGTCAAGTCCTAAGAGAGTGACCAGGGACTCACCCACAAGTTGCTCTGTGGTACTACCAGTGTCGGGGACCACCACCATCTTGAATGAATCTTCAAATATTTTTAAAAGATTCTGATATCAGAAATTACAAAAGTGCTAGGACACATCTGGTGAAGGTACAGTCATTCTCTGATGCTCCTCTCTAAGTTTCCTGCTGTAGGGCAGTGCTCAGGTTTGGGATTAGGTTTTGGCAGTGGTGGTGGTGGCGGCAGCTCCTCCATGCTGACTGCAGGGGTGATGGGGAGGGAGGAGGGCACTGGTTGGGTTAAAGGTCTCTCATCTGTTGTCAGCGGCAGTCTGCTGTGGGGGAGAGGGATTCAGGAGACTCGGCTGCCCCCTGCAGGCGCCATGAGCACCATGGCCATCTTGGCTCCTGTATGATAAAATTTTCTTACATTCCTTAAATTCCTAGGTTTTTATCATGTATGGATTTTCTTACAGAACTCCCCCCAGGCAGAAGTCCTGATCATGTAGGTGTCTGATACATTCTCATAGTTGTTATAACCATCAGTCTTCTGACTCGCGGGCTTTCTGTCGTCAGGCAAGGGCTAGTGGGTCTACTAGGCTTTTCTGCACTGAGGGAGATCTGCTGGTGTTGATAGCTCCAGACCACCACCAATGGAGTTGATCTTGGTTTAGGGGACAAAGTTCACATTCAGCCGACCAGAATGGGCCATCGAGTTCTCTGGCTGACTAAGAGGAGAAAGAGAGGCACACAGTGAAGAAAGAGGCGGGGCCAAGGGGTTGCATGCTCTCAGATTGAGGAAGTAGAGAAGGTGGATTGTTTCTCAGTTACTCTGTGAATTTCTCACGTTTATTCCTTAATATTTATCCCCAAGTTTCAGTTTTCAATAAATGATTTTTAAAAAATGCCAATACTCCTTACATTCTCATCCATGTGGCCTCTTGTGCTGGGCAGATACGACTGGGGAATGACTTTCTTCGCATGGGTAAAGCTTCTTGTCTGTGTGAGAGAGCGCTAATGCGCATGAGCAGTGACATAGAGAACGCTGAGCTTCACTCCACAGGGTCACAGGCCTTCTGGGCTGACTACACCTCCTGATGCCGCAGAACCGTGACTTGCACCAAGCCCCTTGCACTTTCCCACCACAGGATGGTCATTCCCATTTATTCTTCGCTGTGACTGGCGGTATACAGTTCCCTCCTTCCCTCCTCGGGGCTCCTCATCTGAGCCGCCCACTGTCACTTGTGACATGAAGTTGAGAGCTATCCTGCATTCTTTTCCTTCAGAACGCCTGCCACTCGCGTGTGCTCCCTGGTGTGACTTGCCGCAGAAAGCGTTCCCGCCTGATTTGCATTCAAGTCGCTCTGACCTGTGTGCGTGCTTTGATGTCGAGTGAGGTGCGGCTTGCGGGAGAAGGCTTTCCCGCATTCTCCACATTCATAGGGCTTATCGCCTGTGTGAATCCGTCCATGGACAATGAGTAGTGACTTATAGTAGAAATACTTGCCACACTCTGTGCACACTTAGGGGCGTGTATCGGTGTGTATGGTCTGATGGAGAGTGAGATGTGACTTGCAGTAGAAAACTTTGCCACAGTCTGAGCACGCAAACGACTTCTCGCCTATGTGAGTCCTCTGATGGAGGAGGAGTGTGGACTTCTGGTGGAATGATTTCCTACACTCCATACATGCGTAGGGCTTCTCGCCCGTGTGAGACTTCTGATGCGCAGTGAGGTCCGACTTGCAGTAGAAGGCTCTCTCACATTCTGCACATTCAAAGGGCTTCTTCTCGTTGCTGTGAATTCTCTGATGTCGAGTTAGGTGTGACTTATAGTAGAAAGGTCTTCCACATTCCATGCACTTAAAAGGCCTCTCCCCCGTATGAGTTCGCTGGTGTAGCTTAAGCTGGGACTGGCAGTAGAAAGCTTTCTGGCATTTTGTACAAGCGTAGGGCTTCTCCCCCGTATGAGTTCTCTGATGTAACCTGAGGTGTGTTAATCGGTAGAAGGCCCTCCCGCACTCTGCACACTCATAAGGCTTCTTGCCTGTGTGGAGTTTCTGATGTTGAGTGAGGTACGTCTTGAGGGAGAAAGCCTTCCCACATCTTGTACACTCGTAGGGCTTCTCCCCTGTATGGATTAGCTGATGGACAGTAAGTTTCCCCTTAGTGTAGAAGGCCCTCCCACACTCTGAACACGCAAAGGCCTTCTTGCCTGTGTGGATTTTCTGATGTTGGGTGAGGTATGACCTGAAGGAGAAAGTCTTCCCACATGCTGTACATTCATAGGGCTTCTTGCTTGGATGAATTCTCTGATGTTCTGAGCTGCAGACGGAAGCCTCTCTGCAGTCCATACGTTCACAACGCTGCACACCCGTAGGCGCTTCCTGACATACGGTAGCATGTGGGCTCTGGAAGGAAGCTTCCCTGCCTTCCCCACTCTTCCGAAGCCCCTGAGCTTCACTGCGAGTTGACACATAACGGACGATTTTCCTACGGGTCTGAGACGTTTGACTCCCGCTGCCCTGTGATTTCTGGCGAAATGTCTTCCTAGACGCTTCATTTCCACAGGACTTTGACCCTGAATGGGTCTTTTGCTCCTTCTTTTGCTCTGCCTTGAAATAAAGAATTTGTTATATTTCTTATACCTACAAAGAGGCCTTTGTCCTGGCCTCTGTTCTTGAGGTTCTGTGAGGTTTGATTTCTCACAGGCACGTGTACATTTCTCATACATGTGCATTTTGCCATGTATTGAATTGACTTATACAGCACGGAATCCCAAATGTATTAGTAGTGGCTAAACAACTTCACGTGATCTGTGTTTTGTGCTACACATACAAGTGTCACTTAAATGACTTTTCAATATTTACTGAATTTACTACGGGTATCTTTAAATGAAACTTCTTTATGTATCGAACGCACTGTGTTAGCTTAGAATGATATTCCTGGTCAAACATACTAAAGATCATTGATGATATGGACAAGATATGCAGGATGCAAAAGGTTTGCCGACTGCATGAAAAATTGGGTTATTCTCATCCCTGTAATTAAGAAGCTAAATATCTAGAAACAGTACATTCTTGCCTGGGCTAAGTGTCTGTGAGTGTCAGGAAGATGTGAGTACATATATGTCTATGCATGTGTGTCCGCCTGTGTGCAGGTGTGCATGCACACATGTGTGCTTGCAGGTGGGGACCAGAGGCTGATTGTCCACCTTTATTTTTGAGAAAGGGTCTCTCATTAAAGGTGGGGCTTGCTGACTTAGTTAAGATGTCCAAGACATCCTGGACGGCCTTCTTTCCCAGTCTCCTGAACACTGGGACAAGAACTTCCCGCCGCCACTTGCAACTTTTTTCTTGGGTGCTGGAGAACAAACTTAGGTCCTCATGGTCACAAGGCAGCACGGTAATAACTGCGCCTTCTTGCCAGCTTCACATCAAATTCTTAGGGATAATAGGCTTCCCTCTTTATGGTCAGATTTAGATGAAGTACCCAAATTTAATGCTTTACTTACAATCTTCTCACTTGATGCCTTGGTTTGGAGAGTTTCAACTTCCCACAAATGCACCTTATGATTTTCCTGGCTGGTCCCATTCTGGGTAGTCAATTTAGGAAGATCTGAAATCAGATGAAAAACATCCCTATCCATGAATCACATTATAGTCTTATTATGCAATACTAACATAAAGTGGACTTTTCCCTCCTAGAAATTATAGAATAGTAATGAGTGTAAACATTAGTGCTTCACGGATCTGTGTAACAAATGGGACTAGCACACACTACATGCTGGGTCACGTCTCTTACTGTTGTGTTTTCTTCTGGTGACGCACAAAGAGAAGCTACTCACCTCTTTCTCTGCTGTAGGTCCCAACAGTGATTTTCCCCTGCTAGGTCCTAGTCACTCCATTCCTCTATGATACTAACTATACATATAATGTCATCTGTGGCACACGGGTAAAAGAGATTTACTTTTAAATAGTTATATATAAGATGTAAGCATAGCCAAATGTTTTCTCTCCTAAGCAGGAATTCATGTTAGGGAAAAGATTGCTAAATATATGTGTTTAAAAGGTTTACTTCTCACTGGGTATAAGCAATAGAACACTCCGTGGAGTTTGTGAGGCAAAGCATGTTCCTCAGAAGCAGAAGACACCTTCTCCCAAACTCTCTCTTTGATGCATGTTTTACACCTTTTCTTCACCTTCTAAAACAACAAGAAACACCTTCATGAAAACTAAATAGCGACCAAAGTTTATCACGGCAGTGCATTTTCCTGTGCATAGCTGACAATTCTGAATGAAAAACATGTGTACACCGGAGACCAGGACTCACTTGGTTGCTCCAGCTGGCCTGGGACTTGCTATGTAGACCAGAGTGGTCACCTGCCGCTGCCCCCCAAGTGCTGGGAGTAAAGGCGAACACCACGACACCTCAAATGCAAACTATAAAGTTACTTACCACATCTTATAGGACAGGACAAGGCACTCTCCCATCTTCCCCTGAGCCGGTTCATTACCCCTACTGAATCCACCCAGCTTTACTCTTGACTTCAGTTCTGTATTCAGTGCATAATACAAAGGAGATATTTTCTATTTCAATTCTAATTTATTTCCCTTCCGTCCCTGTTTCTGTAAGACCAAGGCCTGAGACAGGGTTTCTCTGTGTAGCTGTGGCTGTCCTGAAACTCACTCTGTAGACCAGGCTGGCCTCGAACTCACAGAGCTCCGCCTGTCTCTGTGTCCCACGTGCTGGGATTAACCATCACCTGGCCAATGATTCTTATTGAAGGCCGAGTGATACACTTTTTATGTACAGCCTTCTCTGAGTCCAGTGATGAGCAGATGGGGCAATAGCATACCATGGTTATCATGAGTAACTGCTCAGTAAACATGGGCCTACAGGTTTATCTGCTTTGTCTCCATCATGTGTAGAGACAGGCAAAGGAAACCTACCACAGACAGTAGTTCTATTTCCTTTCAGAAAAAAAAAATGAAAAACTTCCTGAGTGAATGGACAACCAGACATCATCGACCATAATGTGTATGCTTTTCATTTTTAAAATCATCATCATCATCATTATTATGTGAGGTAGGGTGAATACAGGCATGTGTACACACACACACACACACACACACACACACACACACGATTAGAAGTCAAAGGACAAATTTCCAGAGTTCGTTCTTCTACCTCATTGAGCCAGGTTCTCCTTATTTCCCCTGTACTGCAGACCCCAGGCTAGCTGGCCCGTGAGCTTCTAGGCAATACTGCCATAGGATTTAGACAGGGTCTCACTATGTAGCTCTGGTTGGTCTGAAAGTTGCTGTGGAGAGGAGGCTAGCCTCGAGTTCAGAGCACTGAGAGGAAAGCTGTATGCTAGCACACCCAGTTTAAACCTTATTTTAACAAGAAGGAAGAAAGAACGAGCACCCTGGTTCATTGCTTATACTAAAGGAAATGCTTTGCTTCGAGCATGAAACGGAGTTTTACCCGTGTGACTTCTGGTTTGTCTGTTTAGTCTGTCTCCTCAAGAGGGGTGCTGCCGGGCGATGGTGGCGCACGCCTTTAATCCCAGCACTGGGGAGGCAGAGGCAGGTGGATCTCTGTGAGTTCGAGACCAGCCTGGTCTACAGAGCTAGTTCCAGGACAGGCTCCAAAACCACAGAGAAACCCTGTCTCGAAAAACCAAAAAAAAAAAAAAAAAGAGTGGGTGCTGACATTAACTAACAGAACCTGACACTTGGGGGCACGTCATTTATAAGAACATTGGCTCACAAATGTTCAGGGCATATATATTTATATTTGATATCTCTTCATAATGAATAGTTCATAGTTTCATAATAAACAGACTTCCTTTGGCTTTCCATATGCTTCAACTTTTATAAGAAAACCTAGTTTTGATTTCCCTTGTATTTAGTTTGCTTCAGATATCACTTTCTATCTGTACAGTCTGTGTTTTCATTAGCAAACAAACGCAGGTGTTTCTAAGAATTTAGTTTGCTCGCGTCAGCCCTGATTGGAAGCCTGAGATGACTTGTATTAAGGGCTGCTATTGAAGCACATATATGAATTTCTCCCCTCATCTTAGAGGCGTTCTGGTTTACAAGTTAATATCGAGCACTTTCTTCATGCCGACGTTTATTTATGAGACTTAGTCCTCAGGAGTGGCTTTAAATAAAGTCAGTGAACATGCCCAAGTGGGCCAGAGACTAATAAGTTTCCTTCCATGCTTGCCACGCAGCCACTGACCTGGGAGGCTCCTGTTCGAGGCTTCTGCTGCAGTACATGGCCCAAGTCCTTGCTCCAGCTTGAAGATCAACTCAGGTTTGTTCAGACAGTGCCCTGTAAGTGTGGAGCAATAGAGGAATGAAGCCAGAGTGCTGAGACGGGTCTACAAGACAACAGACAGCTCCGATTCACAAATGGTGCTATGATCGGTGGTTGGAGGCTTGTGGGAGAGATGCTCTCTCTTTGTTGACTGGAATGCTATCTTCAGGCTCACACTGCACGAAATAATGACGAGATGATTTGAAGAGAACGGAAGTGATAATTAGAGACTACACATATGGTATTTAGGACAGACTGAAAATGAGAAAATCATCACAAAAAAAACCCTGGTCTTTGGACAATGAAAAGGGAGAAAATATTACATAGATCATAACTTTACAACTTGTTGCAGCCTTCCTCTTGAATGAGAAGGACTTCCTCCTGGGCAGGAGTGGGTGGAGTCATCGGAATTTGAAACCTATTGTATAGATCACACAAATAAACCAGTCAGGCACTCCAATTTTTCCAGTGCATCTCAGTGTGATCACCTTCCTCTGATCACATGCTAGGTACAGCAAACGGAAAGATCAGTCCCTCCTGGCCCCTGCGAAGCCTTGCAACACTGCAGGAATTCTCAACTGGCTTCGGGCTCTGCCTGGGCCCCTGCGAAATCTGAGCACATTCTGAAGCGGGAGCCGTACAGCTGGCTGAGCTGAAAGTGGGGGGCTCTACCGCTGGCTGAGCTGAAAGTGGGGGGCTCTACCGCGGGCTGAGCTGAAGGGGGAGGCGGGAGCCCTACCCCTGGCTGGGCTGAAGCTGAAGCGGGACCCCTACCGCTGGCTGAGCTGAAGTGGGGGAGCCCTACCGCTGGCTGAGCTGAAGTGGGGGAGCCCTACCGCTGGCTGAGCTGAAGTGGGGGAGCCCTACCGCCGCCGTTGCCAGCAGCAACAGGGCGCGAAGTTTTTAAGTTAACTTTATAAAAACAAAGTTCAAAATACAAAGTAGGATTTGGAACTTCATTGTC